TTGATTTGCTTGCCTATTTGGCATGCGCTATATGTTTTATCTTTAGAAAAATTAGTCTTTGGGAGGCCTTTGACCAATTCATTCTTAGATAGTTTTGAAATCAAATCCATACTAGCATGACCCAACCTTCTATGCCACAACCAACTATTTTCATTCGAGGATACAAGACATTTGACATCTTGATCATGTAATTCACATAAAAGCAAAGTATATACATTACCATTTCTTAGAGCATGGAAAACTTCTACATTATCCTTTTTGACAATGCACTTGTCCGATTTAAACAAAACATCATATCCTTTATCACATAATTGGCTAATACTAAACAGATTATGTTTTAAGCCTTTAACAAGTAACACATCATCAATAGATAAGGAGGAGGAGATACCAATAGTTCCAATGCCAATGACCTTGCCTTTTGAGTTGTCGCCGAATGTGACGCTTCCTCCTTTATGAGGTTTGATGGAGCGAAATTTTGATTGATCTCCCGTCATATGCCTTGAGCATCCGCTATCAAGGAACCATTTGTCCTTGGATGAATATGGAGACTTCAAGCAAACCTACAAAAGGAATTTGAATAATCATCTTTTGGTACCCACATTCTCTTGGGTCCATGAGAGTTAGGAAGAGGTGTATAAGTTCCTTTAATAACCCAAACTTCTTTTGTCCTACATGACCTAATAGGACAATGATTGATCTTATGTCCTGTTTTTTTACAATAGTTACATATTGGACTAAAAGAGGAATTTTTAACAAAGTAATTGTTCAAAGGTATTCTCTTTTTCAATAAACAAGAATCTTTGTTGTGAGGATCAAATCCAAGTCCATCCTTGGTATAAGCATTTCTTTGCTTTCCAAGTATGAGACCCAAATTCTCTCTACCTTTTGTGAATTTAGCTAAAGTCTAAATTTGATCTTCAATTATAACTTTCAATGATTTATTTTCATAAATTAAATCAATTGAAACCGATTCTTTAGCTAAATCTTTTTCCTTTTTCAAAGCTTCATTTTCAAGTTGAGATTTTTCAAGGTTTTGAGAGATGATATTCTTTTCCCTTTTGAGAGTAGCACATTTTTGAACCATTTTGCCTAATTCATCATACAATTCTCTAAAAGCATCTAGCAAATAGTTGTGTGCATCAACCAATTCATCATAAGTAGTTTCCAAATCAAATGAGTTATAATTAGAATTTACCTCATCTTCATCGGCTATGAGACAAAGATTAACCAATTCATTGAGTTCATCGTCACTTTCGGATCCATTTGAATCATCATCCTACCATGTAGCTTGCATGGCTTTGCCTTTCTTTTTCCTTTCCTTTTCATTTTTGTAGGCATAACAATCGGACTTGAAGTGTCCCAGTTTTCCACAATGGAAGCAAGTAAGTGCTTCTCTTTTTCCTTGCTCACTAGACGACCCATTTCTTTTGAAGTGGTTGCTCTTTTGGAACTTCTTCATTTGAAGAATTCTTCTTACGGTTTTGGTAATGAGAGCAACTTCTTCTTCTTCTTCATCATGAGGAACTTTATCAATTGTAACTTCTTTGGTAGTAGCTTGTAGAGTTATATCCTTCTTTTGAGTTTCTTCATCTCTATCATTCATTTCTAGCTCGTAAGCCATTAATGAACCAATGAGTTCGTCAATGGGAAGTGTGTTAAGATCTTTGGCTTCTTGGATGGCGGTCTTCTTACCTTCCCAATTCTTTGGCAAAGATCTAAGGATTTTTCTTACATTGTCGGATGATGTATATTTTCTTCCAAGAGCTTTCAAGGGATTAACAATGTTAGTAAAACGAGAGTACATTTCACTAATTGTTTCTTTGTTATTCATGGTAAAAAGTTCATATTTATGGACAAGCATATTCATTTTGGATTCTTTAACATGACTAGTGCCTATATAGGTGACTTCAAGTTTATCCCAAATTTCTTTGGCCGTTTCGCAATCCGAAATTCTACTGAATTCGTCTTTGCTTAAGGCACAATAGAGATTAGTGATAGCCTTGACATTACATTATACAAGCCTACGGTCATTGAGGGTCCATTCAATATCGGGTGTTCGAACATTTTCACCTTCTACTATCTTGGTTGGATCACGGTCTCCTTTTTCTATGGCTTTCCAAACATCTACATCTATGCCTCTTAAGAATGCTCTCATTTTGATTTTCCAATAGTTGTAGTCACTTCCATCAAACCAAGGGGTCTATTGTTAGATTGACCTTCTTGATGGAAATTTGTATTGGCCAAGATCGTTCTCTAAGATGATTAGTCTTTTTCTAGAGATTAGGCTCTGATACCAATTGTTAGTCACTAATTGACTTTAGAGGGGGGGTGAATAGAGTCAAGGATCAATTTTTCAATTTAAAAATTGTATTTCTACCAAACTGTTAAATATCAGTTTATTGAAATATTCAAGCAAAATAAAGCACAAAAATAAGAGAGATAGAGATAAGAGATTGCAAACAATGACTCGGTGATTTAGCGAGGTTCGGAAACTCCTACTCCTCGGCTCAAGATCCCCCTTGAGACTTCCCAAATTCATTAGAACTTCTCCTTAATGGTGGAGAGCAAACCTTCACTTTTGAAACAAGATCTTGCTTCTCTTCTTTGCTAGGAGAACACCCTTCTCCTAGGCTTTCTTTTGGGTTACACCAACCCTTTACAATAGCTTTGAAATTTGAAGAAACAAGTGTACAAGAATCTCTCAAAGATAGATTACAGAGTTTAGCTCACAACTATAGAAAAGATGAATATACGTGAAGCTCAGAATTACTACAGTGATATGAAATAACAGAGAGGGAATGAAAGCTCAGAATACTTCTTTAATGCTTTTTAAGAAATGATAGAATGTTCTCTGTTAAAGTATTTTTCAGTTTGAAGACCAACCTCAGTATTTATAGAATCAACAGAGTTCAATATAGCTGTTAGAGGTTGTTGAGAACATTTAATGAAAATGTTTACGTTACAGTTCAAAACCCTAAAGAGAGCCGTCTCTTGAAAACCAAAGAGCCTGCTCTTTGTTCATTTTCCTTGGAAAGAGCCTGCTCAATAAAAACGTGAGCTTACTCTTTATTTTGAAGATCCATTTTCGTAGCTTTCTTGGAACAAAAAGAGCCCTCTCTTTCTTTTGATTGAGCCCTCTCTTTTTCTTAAATACTTCTCAAAGACTTACTGGAGTTAAAGAAAAGAACCTTCTCAGAGCTCACTGAATAAGAGAAAAGAGCCTTATCTTTATTTTATGGAGCCTTCTCCATCTCACATTATGATATTTAATATGAAATTCTTTAAGTCCTGTGAATGTGATCATGAGCTGATTTTATTTTCTTTGAGAAATAAAATGGGAATGCAATGCATGGATTGAATTTTGAGCTTCAAATATATTCAAATTAACTTTGACATTAAATCTTAAGCTCTCACCATCTAATCTACCCTTTTCTTCAATCTTTGACCATGATCGGTTAGCCTTTGATGGAGTACTTGAATAATCTTTGAATTCTTGCAACTTCAATGCTTCCTTGAATTCATTGCTTGAGTACTTGGAATGCTTCTGGCTCATTATTGAGGATTGAATTAATTGATCAACTATATAGCACTCAAGGAAAATATTAGTACATAAACATCATTAATGGTTTGTAATCATCAAAATATAAGATTGACCTTTAGATTAAATCCTTAGGCCAACATATATATATACTCTTCATCTGTTTCAGGAGGTCAATGTTGGTACGCATTAATTTTATTCTCCAATTTATTAACCTGTTTTCCAATTTATTAATTTGTTTTATGGATATACATATCATCTGTTTGAGAAGGGTAGTTTTTTTCAATTTATTAACTTTTAAAGGTAAAAAGGTCAACTAAATAGTCAAAGGGCAATTTGGTTAATTTTTCATGTCAATTGGCTTCAAGGGGTTTCTTTATCCACTTTTCAATCTTTAAGGGGTGTCACTGTCCAAAAAATATGTAACTTTCACCTAAGTGTCCTTATGTCAAACCTCAGGGGGTGTTAGTGTACTTTACCCAAAGAAATAAGTAGAAAAAATAGAAAAATAGAATTTTTTGAAAAAGGAAACAAAAATTAGAAAAGGAAAAATATATGATAGTATATTTGAAGAGGGAATATATGTAACTTCTTTTTTTTTTTTTTTTTTTTTTTTTTTTTTTTTTTTTTTTTTTAAAAAGGAAATTAGAAAAATTTGAAAATTTTAAGGGGTGCATTATTTTAAATTACCATATAACCTCTGGGCCTTAATTGGCCTCGCCCTTGGCAATGCCTAGTGGGACACCAATCCATTGAGGTTGTAAGGGTTATCTAAATATCTCGATTCCTTCAGTGTGCAACACAATTATATTAAAATGCAACGCACCTACATTGTAAAATATGATACTCACGTAATAGTCATGCAACATATTATACCTTGTTGCAATATTATCGCAATATTAAATCGAGAATTTACCATATTTTTATAGATTGTTGCATTAAAGCACGGGACAAAAATGACATGGGTGAGAGGATTCTAGTTCTATATGTGTAAATACATCAGGACAAATTGACAATCATTTAAATTGTACGTGAAACAATAGTTACTCAATACAATTATGTTTCTTATTTCCAAGGTTTAATTCCTTCCTTTTAATCTAATAATGAATTTAAGCTAATTACTACACCAACAGGAAAAAAAAAAAAAAAAAAAAAAAAAAAATCCATTTTTTTTGGGCCTTATGGCCCAATAAGATCACACATGAAGGCCCCAACTTAACAAACTTTAATTTTGGCCCATCTGGACACAGTAATAATGTAGAATTGTGTAGATTGCAGTTGTCACAATTTAAAATTTTTAACCCACCTCTTCGTCCCCAATTCTTCTCGTCTCTCCCTCTCTCTCTTCCACCAAAATTTCTGTGTTTTTCTCTTCCAAATCCTAACCTCCAGAGCTACGGTTTCTACCCAAAAGATCTTGTGTTCATCATCTCTGAGGTACTTTTAAAAATCAGTATCTCACTCTAATTCAGTTCATTTTCTTTGCTTTTCTCTCTTTGTAGTTTTTTTTTTTTTTCCTTGGGCACTCATAGGATCACAATTAGTCGAATAACCATCATTTTTTTTTTTTCTTCTCTTTTCTTTCTTTTTTTTTTTTTTTCGGTGGTTTTCATTCACTCTCTATGTATTTCTGGTTGATTTTAATCGTGTTTTGTTCTTCAAGCTTTTAATTTCCTCCTATTGTTTCTGTAATTCAGAGTTTGGCTTTTAGGGTTTGCTTTTTTGTTCTTTTTAGGGTTTTTTTGAATTGGGCTTTTAGTTACAAATCCTTAGTCGCTCTTCTAGTTTGTACATTTTGTTTTCCTGCTTATAATATAAATTTTAAGATCTATTAGGGTTTCATTTTTTTGAATTTTGGGAAGGAAAAAAGATTTTAGGTTTAGGAATACTTTTTTATGCATTTGAATGCCAAACAACCACTGAGGTTGGTTTATCACAAAAATTGGTATCTTATTTACTAGAAAGTAAAGAACAATTTGAATCTAATCGGATTAAATCCTGTGATAGCTCAGAAATTGTAACAGTTGTTTCCGAAGTTGACATTGAGGAGTCTGAAAACCAAAACCCATATCAGTACTCAATCCCAAGGGGGGATTTGTGCCGGCTAATGATGTCTTGTCCACTTATGTTCGATCCATCACTGACCTCCCTCCAACATTGGTTTCTGAAATCCTTAATTGCCTCGAGCCTAAAGAGCTTGGTATGGTGTCCTGTGTCTCCTCATCTCTCTATAGGCTCGCTTCTGAACATCATGTTTGGAAGGAATTTTATTGTGAGAGATGGGGACTCCCATAGTCCCAATGCCTCAAGGTTTAGGATCATCTTCAAATGAGAGGTCATGGAAGGGGTTTTTTGTGGAGAGGGAGTTTCGGAGCAAGAGATGGGATGATTAACCATGGATGCCCTATATGGTCATAATGATGCCGTTCGAATGATTTTTCTTCTTTCTTCTAAGAAGATAATATTTACTTCGGGGTATGATTCAACTCTTAGAATAATTATGAATGGACTTAATTTTGGATATTGTTTGTTTTAAGGTTGGAAAATAATATAAGTTGAATTCTTCAACCATCGATTATATTATATGTTACACGGGTCTTGATAGGACTATTTATTTAGTTTAGCTGAACTAATTTTTAAAATTTTGAGATTTAAATTGACGTCCAAATTGGATTCAAGATACTTCTTTCTGCAAATTATGAATCACACAACTCTGGACTTTTATTGTTTTGATCATCAGGTAGGGATGTTATATGCATGTAACATCTTTTAGAAATAAACCAAGTAGGGTGGTTGTTTGTTTTAAAAATTGGCCTCTACATGACATAATGCCTGTTGCGTATCGGATTGAAGAACCGGTTATGGTTACACACCGATTCTTCTTTGATAAAAATATACACCTGAGTCTAGCTGCTACATCTACATGTTACGAGCTGTTAGAATGGATGTATCTGTAAGGCTGAGGGAAAAAATTGCCTATCCGGAAACTCAGAGCTGCAGAATTTAGCTTTTCCAATCACAAGAATTTTCTTTCTTGATTCTTTAGTTTATTATTAGAGATTCTGATAATTGCTCTTATACCATGTGCAGCACTTTAGGTGTCATAATATTGATTGAAAACAACTAACAACCTTCAAAAGTGGGAAATTAGGATGAAAATAAATTTAAGGGTGCATAATCGATTCCCATTACATCTGGACCAATACCCCTGATACTGTTAAACATACATTACTTGATACCATGATTGAAAACCTTGAATGAACTTCGAGTGATCAACTCCAAAAGAGAGAAAAAAATGTCTCGACTTGTGATTAATAATTAATATTTTTCTATGGTGATATGAATGAATGCTTTTCAGAAGCAATCCTACTATAGTGCTATTTAAGTCCTAAAACACCCCAAATTTATTTTCTTGATCGAAATATTTTCACTGATTGTGCTTCATGGTCTTCTATTCTCATTAGAGGATAGTCTTTTCTTTTTCCCTGTTGGGTTCAATGTATAATAGTACTATGTGATGAAGAGAAGGATGCTTTCATACATTAATTAGAAATACCAAATGTTCATATTTGCGGCATTCTGCTATGTTTTTTGTAGCCTTTTTGTTCCTACTTATTTGTGAAGCTTTTGCAAACTTGAAATTTAAAAGTTAATAGTAATAATAATATAAAATAACATACCTGCACATGAGGGGTTTTATCATAGAGCTAGCTGTTTTTACAAGTTTCTTTGTATCACATGTCAATATTTTCCATTTCATTTTATAAGGCGGTGCTATTTTAAAGATTATTCATTCATCTTATTAACTACATATCTTGGTGAATCAGATTTTTCAAGGACTAGGAAATAAGCCTATTAAATCAGATTTTTCAAGGACTAGGAAATAAACTTGTTAAAACACTTATAGGTATATATATATTTATGCTGGGGTCCTATTGTAATTAGATATAGGGTTTGTGGCCATTATGTAAATAGGCCTTTCTTGTATTGTATATAACCCCCCTTTATGTTTTAGGGTTAGAAGATATGTGAAGTGTGGGCTGCGCCTCACACTCTCAGTCTGAGCTCTCTCGCTCTCTCTCTGTATCTCTATTATCTTTCTATACAAATCTCCATTTTCACATGGTATTAGAGCAAATCGAAATTGTGAGTGTGGGAAATTGCAGTTGTATCGTTCTTGTATAGATTTGTTCAGAGCTCGTGACGGTGATGAAGTTGTTGCCGTTTTGGTTGTCGACCAGCTCGCAGCCTTCTCTCGTCGTCGCTGCTTATTGCTTCGTCTCAGATCTGAAGCCCAGTTTGGTTGCTCATGTTGTTGCCGTTTTGGTTGTCAACAAACTCACCGCCTTCTCTCGTCGTCGCTGCTCGTTGCTTGGTCACCGACGGCTGTCGCGAGTTGTGTCGCTGCTTGTTGATTCCATCGCCGCCGCCGCTGTCGCTGCGTGCTTGCTGGAGAACTGAGATTTTGTAAAGAAGAACGGTGTTTGGCTACAGGGTTCTTGCTATCCCAATCCAGGTTAACATAAACCGGATTTGTTCCGACCCGATTTAAGGTCCGGCCCGTTCGACCTGATTTACGGTCCGGGTCTGTTCTGCTCCGAGTCTTCTTCTGTTCCCGGGTCAACTCTGTTTCTTTGGTTCTTTGGTACAGATTTGGCATCGGGGCGCAGATAAGTGTTTTTATTTATTTTTACATATTCATATATCTATGTCGGACGATTCAAATGTTGCTTCTGGGTCTATTGGAGTTAATCTTCTGCAACAGATGTTGATCCTGTCGGGCTGCAAATTACAACTATGAAATTAAGTAATTCTAATTACTTACTATGGGCTCAAGCAGTAAAGATCTCTTTTGGTGCCCGACGAAAGTTGAAGTTTATTACAATTGATCCTCCATCAAAAACATCAACAACATATGAGGATTGGGAAACTGATAACTATATGGTTATGTCCTTGTTGTGGAACAGTATGGAACCTTCCATTACATCTACTTTTATGTTTGTCAACACTGCAAAGGGAATCTAGGATGCAGTTAAAGGAACTTACTCTATGGACACGAATGTTTCTCACATATATTCATTTTATGAAAAGATATTCCATTCTCGTCAATTTGACCTCTATGGTCAAGGCCTCGGTGAGTATTATAGTACTTTTAAAAGCCTGATAGATGAGTTGAATCAGTACCATCCCTTGACTACTGATCCTGACATTCTCAAGCGACAACGTAAGGAATTTTTTGTTTCCATTTTTCTTGCTGGTTTGCACCCGACCCTTCAGAATATTCGGGATCAGATCCTTGCTGGTGATGGAGGACTCCCATCTTTGGGTAACATTTATTCCCGCTTACTTCGGATTTCAGAACAATCACATGTGACGCCCACTGGAGTGAAAGAAAATTCAGCTATGATGATTTCTTCTATTTTTCCACAGTCCTCTTGAGGTCGTTATACTCCTAGTGGCAACAGAGGGTATGGTGGAAATTCAGGTAGTTCTCGTGGCGGTAGAGGTCATGATAAAAGTCGCAGTCGCCGTGGTCGTGGAGGTAGTGATACTTGCATCTACAGCCACTGTCGGGGTACTAACCATTCTGTTGAGAACTGTTGGACTCTTCATGGGAAACCAGCATGGGCAAATCAAGCAGTGTCTTCCTCTGACCTTGCGGGGTCTCATCACTCTCTTGGTCAGACTTCTGTATTACCATCAGTTGCATCTACTAGTGACACTATCATTATCAGGAGCTGAGTTCAGTGCATTGGTTAACCGAACACATCCTAACTTTACTGATGTGGTTAATTTTGCGCAATCAGGTAATATTGCATGCTTGTCTGATTTACAGACTTCAGCATCCCCTTGGGTTATTGACTCTGGGGCTTCTACCTCTCTCACAGGTGATGCCTCTCTATTTTCTAATTTTCAGAAGTCTAGTTCCTCATCTTTTGTTACTCTGGCTGATGGTAGAACATGTTCTATTATTGGCCAGGGAACAATTAAATTAACCCTATCCATTTCTTTATCCTCTGTGCAATTAGTTCCAAATTTTCCCTTTAATTTATTATCTATAAGTAAATTAACTCAAACGCTGAATTGTTTTGTCACATGTTATCCTTCGTTTTGTGTCTTTCGGGACTTCAACACGAATCAAACGATTGGTGTGGGCAGTAACAGAAATGGCCTATACTATTTGGATTGCAAACCTTCCACTGTTGCTTTACATTCCCAGATGTCTGTGTACCAGTGGCATTATCGGTTAGGTCATCCCTCGTTGCGGTATTTGAAGTCTGCTTTGCCTTTCCTTGAGTTGGTGTCTACTTTAAATTGTGAGTCGAGTTGGTGTCTACTTTATTTGAATTAGTGCATACGGACATTTGGGGTCCTACTCGTCACACTAGTAACTCAGGTTTTTCTTATTTTGTTACCTTTGTTGGGATTATTCAAGGATGACTTGGTTGTTTTTAATGAAAGACCGTTCTGAACTTTTTTCCATATTTCAAATATTTTTAAAAGAAATTGAGGTCCAATTTGGGTGTGTTATACACATTTTACAATCTGATAATGCTATAGAATATGTTAAAGGTGCTATTTCTAATTTTTGCGACTCACGTGGTATTTTGCACCAAACTTTTTGTTCTTATACTCCTTAACAAAATGGCGTAGCCGAACGGAAAAATAGGCATTTAATTGAAACAGTTCGGACATTGATGATACATATGCATCTTTCAAAAACATTTTGGGGCGATGTTGTTTTAACTGCTTGTTATTTAATTAATCGTATGCCATCTACCGTTCTTAATTGGAAATGTCCTTATTCCTTTGTTTTTCCTACTCTACCGTTATTTGCATTGCCGCCTTGTGTTTTTAGGTGTGTGTGTTTTGCTCACATATTACGCCCTGGCGCTGATAAATTGTCTCCTCGTGCCATTAAGTGTGTCTTTATTGGGTACTCTTGGACTCAAAAAGGTTAAAAATGTTGGGATCTTAGAACTCGTAGTGCTTTTGTGTGCATGGACGTTACCTTTTTTGATGATACTCCTTATTTTTGTTCACATAGTTTGTCTTTAGATACCAAGTTGCTCCTTCTGTTGCCTGTTGTACCACATTCATTACCCTGTGACCCACTACAACAACCTCATGTGCCATCCCCACTTTAAGTGTATAGCCGTCGATCACGAGCCACAATTGTCTACTTCTATTGAGGCTCCTCCTGCTACTGATGATCTTCGTATTGCATTACGTAAAGGTATTCGCTCTTGTGTCACTGCACACCCCATATCTAACTTTGTTTTCTATAAAAAGGTATTGCCATCATTTTCTTGTTTTTTATCCACGTTATCTGCTACTACTGTTCCGAAAACTGTGTAGGATGCTTTATCTGATATAGCTTGGCGCAAAGCCATTATAGATGAAATGGATGCTCTTCATCATAATGGGACATGGGACCTTGTTCCCTTACCTCCCGGTTCCAAAACGGTTGGTTGTAAGTGGGTCTCCACTGTCAAATATCTCCGTGATGGATCTGTTGAGCGATTGAAGGCTCGCCTTGTTGCAAAGGGATAAACACAAACCTATGTATTGATTATGATGAGACCTTTTCCCCTGTTGCGAAGATTTCTTCTATCTGAATCCTTATTTCCATTGCCGCCAATTGTAATTGGCCGTTGTTTCAATTAGATGTGAAAAATGCTTTCTTACATGGTGATTTACATGAAGAGGTTTACATGGAGCAACCACCTGGATGTGTCTCGTTATGCTGTATGTCATCTTAAAAAGGCCCTGTATGGAGTGAAACAATCTCCAAGGGCTTGGTTTGGAAAATTCTCCTAGGCAGTACTTTCCTTTAGCCTTAACAGATCATTCGGTATTTCACCAACATACTAAAACAGGCTTTATATTTCTTGTGGTATATGTAGAAGATATTGTTATAACAGGTGATAATTCTGACGGAATTGCAAAGTTAAAATTGTTCTTACAAAATCGGTTTCACACAAAGGATCTAGGCAAACTCAAATATTTCTTGGGTATTGAGGTCGCTACATCCAAGGAAGGTATAAGTCTATTTCCAAGGAAATATGTGTTGGACTTGTTAAAAGAAACAGGTATGTTAGGTACTCTCCCTGTTGATGCTCCTATGGACCCAAATATAAAATTATTACCTGATGAGGGTGATTTATTTGACGATCATGGCAGATATCGACGTCTAGTTGGGAAATTAATTTATCTCACTATCACCCGACTTGACATTTCATATGCAGTTAGTGTTGTAAGTAAGTTCATGAGTGCTCCTAGAGTACCACATTGGAATGTTGTTCTTCGAATTATTCGATATCTTAAACAAGCTCCAGGTTTTGGATTACTATATAAACCTAATGGTCATCTCAATGTGACAGGTTTCACAGATGCTTCACAGATGCTGGTTCTCCCTCAGATAGGAAATCTACTACAGGTTATTGTACATTTGTTGGTGGAAATCTTGTTACATGATAAAGTAAAAAGCAAACAGTTGTAGCACGGTCTAGCGCTGAAGCAGAGTAGTGAGTTAACGTGGATACAACACTTTCTTGAAGAACTTGGGTTAATAGTCAAGACTCCTATTCCACTGTTCTGTGATAACCAAGCAGTTATTCACATCGCATCCAATCCGGTGTTTCATGAAAGAACCAAGCACATTGAAGTTGATTTTCACTTCACTCGAGAGAAAATATTGAGTGGAAACATTTCTACTCCATTCGTGAAGTCTGAAGATCAATTAGCTGATATGTTTACTAAGGCTCTTGGTTATAATCGGTTAAAAACGATTTGTTCCAAGCTAGGATTATATGATATATATTCTCCAGCTTGAGAGGGAGTGTTAAAACACTTATATGTATATGTATATTTATGCTGGGGTCCTATTGTAATTAGATATAGGGTTTGTGGTCATTATGTAAATAGGCCTTTCTTGTATTGTATATAACCTCCCTTTATGTTTTAGGGTTAGAAGATATGTGAAGTGTGGGCTGCACCTCACACTCTCGGTTTGAACTCTCTCGCTCTCTCTCTGTATCTATATTCTCTTTCTATACAAATCTCCATTTTCACAAAGCCTATATAAGGCCCTCAGTAATATTTATATATGGGAGATGAATTTTGAATAATAAGTTGTCATCACTAAATATTTATTTTTATCAATCATTATTTCATGGTGGGATGACATGCTATTCAAACTAATTTTTCCTTCTTTTATAGGGCACCACAATGTTGCAGGATAGTGTCTTGGCGCTTACAGATCATGAATTTGTATCTACTAGGGAAGTTTTAAATGCAATGAGATTGATCAACAATGGAGTTGAACAGAGTGATCCTCTCATTATTACTCAGGCTTGTTCACTGAGTATGTTCTTTACTGCTCAACTTTGAATTAATTTTTTTTTGGTTGGGTGCCTTAATCCTTTGCAATGTTATATACAGTCTTGTCTGTCATTGATAGAATAGTGAAAATGCTGCACCCATCTTATGGGAGGTTTTGTTTTCCTATTTGTTGCTCAGTTTTTATTTTATTTTATAGTAGTGCATGGGTTGTCCAAACTTGGGGTCCTAGATAAAGCGGAATGGCAAACTAGGACTTGTGCAGCTGACCTCAAATGGTCAGATGAGTGTTGTTAAAGGCGCGCCTAGGCTCGAGGCGCAGGTCTAGTGCCTGTTGTCATCCTAGGCATTGATGTTTACTAGGCTCACGCCTCGGTTGCACCTCGTCCTATTTGTCAGCCTTGATGTTTTTTTTTTTTTTTTTTAAATGATTATTCTCTCTTAAGCCACAAAGGTTACTTTTGACAACTTAATAAACAAATAAGAAAGCCTAAGCATATGAGAGAAGGAACTTTTGTTCAAAGGAATAAACAAATAAGAAAGTTCACGACCAAACATAGAAAGAGTGAGTCTGACAACGAAGCCCTAGTGGCAGAGACGAAGGACGACACCATGTCAGTTCTTTCTTCTTCTTCTTCTTCTTCTCCTCTACATCTCTCTCCTCTCCTCTTCTACTCCTCTCGTCATCTTTGTTTACTTCTCTCTCTCTCCATCTAGTTCTCCTCTCTGTCTTTTTTTTTTGGGCTCTATTTTTTTTTTTTTTTTTTTTTTTTTCTCTTTTTTCTTCTTTAACACTTTCTCTCTCTTCTCATCTACTTCTCTCTCTTCATCTACTTCTTTAGTCTCTGCAGTCTTTTTTTTTTTGTTCTATTTTTTTCTTTTCTTTTTTTGTTAACATTTTTTTTTTTATAGATTTATTTCTTTTTGTCCTCTATTTTGTCTTTCAAGAAAATAAAAACAAATTTGTGCTCTGTTTTATTGTTCTTGAATGCTTATATAGTTGATGGATTTACTTTATTTATATTTGATATTAATTTTTAGAATATTGATGACTTGTGAGATATGAATGCTATTATGATAGTTTAAAATTTCAATTGTGCGCCTCACTTCACTTAGGTGTGCCTCGCCGTTCGCCTAGGCTCCAAAGGACCTCTAGCGCCTTGGTGTGCTTTGAGACTTTAATAACACTTCAGATCAAAGGCTTTATAGCAGTGGTGGTGGTGTTAGGACTGAGTTTTATTTCTAGCAAACACTATTCAATCATTTGATAGTGTCTGAAAGTACCCTTTTTTTTAAAAAAAAATAAAAAAATAAAAAAATCTTTCTTCTTTTTTCCTTTATTGAAACCAAAAAAGACAAAGAAGTCAGAACCTAAAAAAATAAAAAAATAAAATAAGAACATGGAAAAAACAAAAAGCGAAAAGAGATCTTTCTCATTGTGCTACTACCATTCTGTTGAGAATCAAAAAGTTTCCCCTTAGGAAGCGAATATTTTTATGTTTCAACAAACTAGTGCCATCATTATGATCATGCTCACAATTATCATAACAAACTAACCATCACTACAATGAATCATCATCAGCACAACCACCACACCAAGACCTTCCCACTTATGGAACCAGTATCGTATTCACGACACGATAATTACTAGAGAAAATTTTAGTTGGCCATGATACTTACCTAACATGTTGAGTTAAGAGTTCTAAAACTAGAGAAGATTTTAGCTAGCCATGATACTCACCTAACATGTTTAGTTAAGAGTTCTAAAACTAGTTAATTTTTTATTTACTACGTTAGTAGTTCATTTTAATTTATTTATGCTTTTTTTTTTTTTTTGGTGATATAACCTTACTTAGTGATCACATGTGTTGCACTTGTCAAATTAAGTGATTTGCACTTGGAATATATAGGACCTTGATATGCAAGCATGGGGATACCGTGGATTAGGATCTTAGGTTGTTTCACGTAATTTGTGTGAGGTTGGTTGGAAAAGTAGGAAACTTAAATGTGGTTGCTATTTCTCTTTGAACTGCTCTTTTTGTTTGATTCTGCTTCTGCTTTTGTCTTTTCTTTATCTTCTTCTCTTATGGTTATTGTTTGTCAAAAGCTTTCTTGATGTTGCTTGTTACATAATTGCGGAAGCCCGCGCTTTGTTATTTTTAAAATTTAATCACTTTTTCCTTACTCAATTTCCTCGTATATATTCTTCAGATTTTCCCTTAATCATGAAAACTTTTCAAGGTCAGGGGTCCATGATTTTCACAATTTTATATTTTGGTCAGATCTTTATTTATGAGTATTTGATTGGTTTAGCCATTTTTTCCAACCCCGCTAACATTGTAGTCTATCCCTCGCTCCCCATTGCTTATATGTTTAACGTTAGTTTAGTGCATTTGTTTTATGTAATGAAGCTTATTAAGCAAGACTGTTTTGTTTGATTAGAATTTTCTGTTACTATTTAATGTTCCATTTATGCTAAATTGGTTAGCAAGTAATCTCATAAAATCAAGTAACCCTAGGGCTGGACGATAGCACCACATAATTTTTCTCTATGTTACATGGACTCGGGTACGGATGTCAGACACGGGTATGTATCCATACGTCGGATGTGTCAAATCCTCCAAATAAAGGACACACGGACACGGCTAAATATTTATTTTATTAATTATTTTATTTTTATTTCTAGAGTGAAGTAATTTTTTTTAATCTAATACAATGTTCAATATAGTCCTTTAATTGATTTTAAAGTAATAATATAATGTAATTGAATGATTGGATATGTTTTTTAAGTACATGTCCAACAAAAAGTGTCGGACATATATCCCATACCCATGTCTGAGGGATATGTGTCCTACACGGGTATTTCATTACTTTTGAAGAGTATATGTAACAGAAATTTTTCTAAATGTTACTTCTCTAAAGAAAGGTGCACTTCTAGTTATTTCTTTGGACAACCTTTTTAAAATTTTCATGAGGAAACCACTCTCAGTTTTGTTCCTCCCTTCAGGACGTATGCTTAATCTCATTCTTAGATTTCGGAGTGCTATTGCATTCATTGCCCCTAACACTAATACTATTATCTCGTGGAAATTCCCTGGGAAGTTTAGTGAGCTTTTTTGTTTTGATAAGTGAGAATTCATTAAAAGGCCCTCAAAAGAGGGGAGCGCTCCCAAGGAAGAACACAAGACTCCAAGGGCGTCAATTATAGCTTTAAGCTATCCACAAAATCCAAGAGATTTCCCAAAGAAGTACAGTTATGCCCGATTGCCCGTTAACCCAAGAGAAAAAAGAAAACAGAATATTGTATTTGAGAGACCAAACAGGAGTCTCATGTCCCTCAAACGATCTTCTATTCCTCTCACACCACACACCCCACCATACACAAAGGGGACCGTCCTCCAAGCAACCCTGGCTTGGCCGGGCACTCGAGTCTCTTTCCAAGTCTCTAACAAATCAACTATGTTTCTAGGGAACACCCAAGATATACCTCATATTTACTTACCAAAAAAAAAAAAAATTCCAAATGTCTCTCACCACCGGGCAATGCAAAAGAAGATGATTCATGGTTTCCTTTGTCTTCTTGCACATACAACACCGATTAACCACGTTCTGTCATCTCCTTCTAAGGTTATCAAGTGTAAGAATACCTTTGTGGGCAGCACACCATGCAAAAAAAGCCACCTTCAATGGGGATTTCGTCCTCCAGATTGCCTTCCATGGGTATGTTACGTATGTAGCACCTGGGATCTCAAAAAGACTGTGGTAAAATGCTCTAACCTCAAACATCCATCTCGGATTGCCCACCCATACTATCTCATGCATCCCTATCCTGTCAATCACCTTGCTATAGAGTAAGGTTAAAATTTTAGTAACTTCGTTGAGCTCCCAATCTTTGACACATTATACGAAATTGCACATCCCAAGTCAACCTTTAGCTATCAAGCCGATAGCAGTCGGCAACCAAGGGATGTTTGTTTGAAGAGATCCTAAACAACCTAGGAAACCTACGCACCAAAACAATATCCTCGCACCAATGATCCTCCCAAAATTTGACGTGACTCCCACTCCGAACTCTGAATCGGATGCGTTTAGAAAACTCATCCCACCCCTTCTGAATGGGTTTCGAAACACCCTTACCCGCTGCAAATCTAACTTCCTTAGACAACCATCCGCCTTCCCCTTCCTCATAACGACAAGCAATGACCCTGCTCCATAAGCGTGGCCTCTCACTCCCAAACCTCCACAACCATTTAGCCAATAATGCTTTGTTGAACAAATTCAATCTCATAATACCCAACCCCCCATTTTTAATAGGGGAACACAACTTCTCCCAATTCACCAAATGATATTTGAACTCGTCTCCTATGCCACCCCACAAGAAATTCCTCTGAATCGCATCTAATCTTTTGCATAAGTGTGCTCTTCATAAGTGTAATCCCGCCCATCCCCCCCCCCTCCTCAATGCTTTTTCCACCCTGCCAGTCTCCTCTCGAAACGTTCAATCATAGGGTCCCAAATTGAAGTCGTTCTCGCCACAGCTCCCAATGAAAGCCCTAAATAAGAGATTGGAAATGCGCCCACACCACACCCAAGAATATCTGTTAATTCCTGGAAACCTTGAACTGCCCCAACTGGTACCAATTCACTATTCCCAATATTGATCATTGCCCTGAGACGACTTGGAAGCAGGCCAATACACATCTCAAAAATCTCAACTGGTCCACCCTAGCATCACAAAAAACAGTTGTGTCATCTGTAAAAAGCAAATGAGATATTACCAGCTCATTAGGACTGTTTCCCACCGAGAATCCTCTGATAAACCCCAATTCCTCTGCCCTCATTAATCTACTAAATGCGTCTATAACAATGATAAATAGAAATGGAGAGAAGGGGTCCCTCTGTTGCAGTCCTCGAGAGCTAGCGAAGAAGCCAGCTGGAGAAAAAAAAACTAATATTGAAAATCACGTAATTGAAATGCATTGATAGATCCACTTCCTCCACGTAAGGCCAAACCCAATCCTTTCC